CATTAACACCGTTATATACCGGCCGTCTAATGTTTTCATTGAAATATAATCGTGTGTAATGGTGTCTTGTAAAAAAGAAAAAAAAGTCTCTCTTCAGCCCTCAGTGATATGGAATTAGATCAAGTGAAATAAATCTGATATGTACAGAAAACTTTTCAAATAAAGTTCAACACTACTTATAAATTCTTGAAATTTTATACTGTTCACGTTGGAACTTTACAACCATCTTTGTACGGATACATTCGGTGTGTTCTCATTGTTTAGAAGTAATAGTAACTTCTATATTTTGAAGAATTTCATATTCCCATTTGTGTATTTTCAAACAACATATTGATAGTTCACAACTGAATCATCAAAACTGGATAGCTTACTTACTTAAACCTGTTACTCTTCGTGGAGGAGCATAGGTCGCTCATAAACATTCTCCATTCAACCCTGTTTTGGACAATCCTTTTCATATCTTCTTCTATTTCTCAATGTAATGTATGTTTCAATAGTTATTTATAACAATAATAAAGAAGGAAATGATATTGCTCAATATTCACCTTATTGTATATAGATCATTAAAGTATTCACTAAATGTACAAACGAATCTCGAAGAACATTCTAACTAAACAAGAAATTCCAATATACTAGAAAAGTTTTCAGTGTTATGTCAACATTCACTCAAGGTACAGCGAACAAATTGCCAATGTTTATAAGATTCATTTACGTCTCATAGACGAATTTCTTTATGCAGAATGACCGGACTCATGAAGAACAAAATTGATACATGTATAGGATTATTTCGTATGAATTAAAATGATTCTGTTGAGACTATAATTTATGGACGAACCAATCACGTATAAGATAACAGGTGTCGGATTTCGGCGCGAAATTCACTCATTCATTCGGATAGATAGAGTTTTGACGTTATAGCTGATGTCATTTCGTGATGAAATTTCTAAGTCAAATTTCTAACCTTAATCATCAACTGTAAATCATAATTCCACTTCCTCACATTGGTTAATAACACTCATTTGGTCCCAGTTATTAGGTAGACACTCTCAAGGTCAGTCTGGCGTAGCTCAATGGCCGTCCATAAATTATAGTCATGAAGTGAACAAAACAGCAGTGGGGATAATTGAGTGTATTTGAGCAGAAAATTACAGAGCATCTTAAATAAAATCTGAGAACCATATAGTAAATCGTTAATTTCCAAAATATCAAACTTGACTGTTCCTGTTGCAAACATCAATCCATTGTCTCATATTTCATTGTTCATGCGTTTTCATTACCAATTGTGTTCCGTTCCCGTCCTTTCCTCATCGACCTTCTACTGAAATACATTCTATGCCTGACCGCCGTTATATACTACTTGTGTGGATATAAGCAATCCACACCACGACATATCCTGGGTTCGAATCTCGCGAGGTGGGATCGTGGATGCGCACTGCCGAGGAGTCACACAATAGGACGAAATGGCCTTCCAGTGCTTCAAGGTCTAGTTTCAATTGACCCATGATTTCAACTATTGAAATAAGCTATTGTGACGAAACCATAATTTATGGACGAGTCAGTCAGGGGGGTTTGAGGGCTTTCAAAGTCACGACGCCGATTTCGGTTCCTAATGCTCATGTACGACCGACTTACAGTAGAACTTATAGGAGGCGTGATCATCGGGCGGCCATAACAAGTGGGACTACTAAGGATTTTATTTGTGACTGTTGTACCGTGTGCAGACTACTGTGATGAGATTGTCTTTCGATGTTATTCATGTTCGAGGAAGAAGTTACAGGACTTGTTAATAAAATCTAACAATCATAAAGTAAATGCTTAATTTTCAAAATGTCCACCAATTGTCTCAAAATGACTCAGACTTCATTGTTCTTGCATTTTCATACAAATTGCATCCTGTTTCCATTCTTTACTGTTCGATCCTCTTGTCTCACTGCTGCCAGAATTTCTGTTTACAATTCACATCATATACTACTTATGTCAATATAAGTAGCACACACCACAGTCTCACTACGATTCTTATTACAGGAATAACAATACGAAATCATGCATGCACATATGATCATACGTAGTGGGATTGTGACTTTGCAGTAAGGAAACTTCTATGACATATGAAGAGTGCAAAAACGTTACGTGAGTTATTATTACCACTGAAGACAACAGCGAACAAATGATTATAGTGGAATATAAAAATACCTTTTTGTAATACAAGACCAAGTCATTCGGTTTTAGATTAGGTATTTGAATTTTCCCACTTATCATGTACAATATACAGAAAGTCTTGTTTCAAGTTATCAATATCTTTCCTTGATACCGGTAACTTCGAAGCTAGAAATGTGGACCATTTTTGTGATTCATTGGCTTAACATTATTACACTGCCCATTAGAGCTATAGAACCTGAGTATGTTTCTTGGAACTTACTGCTATGCAATTTCAGTCTAAGATGAGACAGTTACCCAATATCTACTGATTTGCAGCGATTCTCTAGATGACATTTATCATTAATAATAACTCTCTTAGAGTTCCATTCAATCGTATGATCTTCAAAGTTGGCATAGCGACCACTAACATGTATTGGCTTATTTGCAAATTCTGTGAATCAGATAATCCAAAAATGTAATAACTCCTCATTTCATTGAATAGTAAGTTTCACCTCCAACAAATCCTGTTGAACACATGCTCTAATGACTTAAATCTCTTGATTTCGTATCTAGATATGTTCACACCAAATATATCATGTACCCATGACTTGGAATCCCTGTATAGAATTTATTGTGAATTCAACTAATACTACGTTTATTTATGATGAATAAATTAATAGAGTTGCTCCTCAGGTTGACATAAGTGTTTTGTAGATCAAAGTAAATAGGATGAATAATAAATCTTATACTGTGAAAGACAGCGATTAACTCTCACCAGTTACCGTTGTAATTCTAAACACTGAAGTACTTCGTACTAACTGTATTGAATAGAAATTTTAAGCCTACTAAGTGGATGTATCGCTCAATTTCGCAGATTAATCGAAGTTAAACATCAATACCATTGAACGTTGGCTTAGCAGTTTGCGCGCGAGACCAATAGGTCCTGGGTTCGAATCGTGCACTGCTGAGGTGTCCTACAATAGGACGAAACGGCCGTCCAGTACTTCCAGGTTTTCCATGGTGTACTAGCTTCAACTGACTCATGAATTCAACTATTAGGAAGAAATGTGTTTTAGAAATTGTATATTATGTATTTTGATATGCAAAATAAACTAGTAATTCTTATGAAACAGACCTGGGTAAATTTCCAGGCAATGTAATCATTATAAATAGCTATCCTATGTAGAATGATTACATAATAGAACCTTTTGCTTTGACTAAATGCAACTCACTGAATAGTAAATAAAGTGGTCAAACAAGAAGACGGGTTATTCACGTTTAAACTATGATATAATCACCGCAATTTCAAATTACAGAGTTATCATCTCTAAGTAGACGATGTATATACCGAAGAATACAGGGACAAATAAACTAAATGTTGTTTAGTCATGTTTTTAAAGACACTGTATTCAAATGTATTTTATATAAAACTATAATATACAAATACAGACTTGTTCTAAGTAAAGACCGGTGTCAGGCAAGGTTGCTTACTCTCACTCTTTCTATTTCTCCTGATGACCGACTGGATTACGAAGACGTTAATATCTGGGAGGGGAGCATGGGACAGAATGGACAGTTAGGATGGAGTTGGGAGATCTAGACTTTGCAGATGATCTGGATCTCCTATCGCAAACACAACAACAAAAGTAGGAGAAGGCGACCGGTGTAGCAGTGGTCTTAGAAACAGTAGGTCTCAATATACACAAAGGGAAAATCAAGATTCTCCCATATAACACAACATGCACCAATGAAATCACACTTGACAGAAAAGCTTTGGAAGATGTAAAAACCTCTACATATGTGGGAAGCATCATTGACGAACACGGTAGATCTGATGAAGATATGAAGGCGCGGATCGACAAAGCAAGAACAGCATATCTGCAAATGAAGGACATGTGGAACTAAAAACAACTATCTGTCAACCAACGCCAAGGTCAGAATTGTCAATACAAATGTCAAGACAGTTCTACTGCATGGGACGGGAACCTGGGGAACCAAGAAAGCCATCATCCAGAAAATACAGGTGTTTATTAACAGTTATCTATGTAAAATACTTCGGATCCGTTGGCCACACACTGAAAGCAACGACAATCTACTGTGGGAGAGAACAAACCAGATCCCAGTGGAGTAAGAAGTCAGGAAGAAGTGCTAGAAGTGGATAGAATACACATTGAGGAAATCCCCTGACTACGTCACAAAGCAAGCCCTCACCTGGACTCCTCAATGTCAAAGGAGGAGAGAAAGACCAAAGAACACAGTACACCAAGAAATGGAGTCGGGCATGAAAAGAATGAATAACAGTTGGATAGAACTATCAAAGAAGGCCCAAGACAGAGTAGGTTGGAGAATGCTGATCGGCGGTCTATATTCCATTGGGAGTAACAGGAGTAACTAATTCATACAAACATAAGTATACAGATTAAATGATCATCCATTTACAGGAATACAAATATTCAATGAAAACAAACATTTAGACTTCATGAAAAACAAAAAAATGTTAACAACATTTTCGTCTAGATACACAGAAAGAAAAATATTTACTCATTTCTCCTTTTTCTTTTCTTTTTTTTTGCATAGTTTCTTCACGATTCATTTTCTCTAAATGAAATCTGATCTTCCCTTGGTATTATTTGACTTGTATTTTTCCATTGAGGTTTAAGACAGCAATTGATCAGTCGATTATTGGCATATGTGCATACTGTGCGTATGCCTCGATATTACCATCATTGCTTACAAGAAATCTGATCTTGTTTATTGATGAATTACAATGAATGAAAATAGTCTCATTTCAACTGTTCTATTCAATGTAAATAGAACATTGTTTAAATAAACTTTATTACATAATCATCTATTCGTATAGATTAAGAGTTTATACTCATATTACTTATTCTAAGAAATCATGAATAGAATGATCATTAGTGTATTCTGTATATGTATTTGTTCAATTATAACAAATGGTAAGTTCTTTATTCATTCACATTGAGAAATTTAGTGTCTTCCCATTGTTATTTAGGATTGTAATTGATTAGTCTCTCTCTCTTGTTGGTATATATGCATATTGACTCGATATAAACTTATGTCATGAACTATATAAGTGAAGATGGATAATAGCTAACACCGAAAACCAGGATTTGCTTATCCTCCTAATTGGGACTTGTCACCTGGATGTACATACATCTCAAAGTTAATGTTCACTCTGGTACACGAACCAAGTACTGTTCGCTTCAAACGGAATCGCATGATCCACTTAGTTACTGAGTCCTGATAGCCACTTGTTTGTGGAATAGGGTGAAGTTGAAATTCATTCGATGTTGTTTTACTTCTATCTTCCCATTGATGTTTAGCGCTGCAACTGATCAGTCTCATGATGGCATATGTCCATTCTGTACGGATTATTTCAATATAGACTTAAGTCACAAGCTTTTTAAAAACTTGAATTTCATAATTAGCACTGAGAATAATTTCATCATATAGACAGATAGTTCTTTTCGATAGAACAATGAGAATACGGAGTTGATCTGATGAAAATGTGATGTATTTGTGCTATATATTTCGAACAATCCGATCACACATATACTTGTCAGGCTATTTTATATGCAGATTAATAAAGGTCAATTAAATGAAGGTTCAAATAAACAAACTAATAAAGGAGAAAGAAACATTTTATATCGTATAGAAAGAATAAAAATTTATCGCGTTATCTTAGGCCATAGAATGACTTATGGATTATTAGGGTAAAGCCAGGGTTATGACAAATTGTTTTTGTATACATAATGTGGGTGAATGGGGGTTCATTTACGAATAGCCAAGGCCTCGATAAACTTGCAAATTCATCCTTGACAATTTCTATACAACGTTTTAAAAGTTGTATTAATGTTAATTTTGTGCCCCGTTTCAGTTCTATGTTACGCTATCAATGAACATGGTTTTATACTTCACATGTTGATTGGATCATTTGACACTAATTAGTTTTGAAACCATCTAGACATTTGATTACAACATTGTTCAGTTACTCCACCCTATGTATTTTTTTTCCTTGGAAATCATTTTGTATATTTAGTGACTGATTGTTACCGATGTATTGATTGGTTGATTTCAGCTAATACAGTTCCAAGTGAGTCTACACATGAATATTCCACTTACTATAACAACAACAACCTCTATTGTACAACAATGTACAAATGTGACCGATGTTACTCACAAACTGATAAACATATTACTTTTAACTAATATTTTGACATCACTGTTATATTCGTTGTGTTTATGATCGATGATATAAGACAAATGTATTCGATAAGAACTAGAATACTAATATTCTTCAATGTTTACTTCAGTAATTGAATTGATTAGCATATATATTAGTAATAAACAATGAATGTATAATTTGTTTGAATGGATACTACTGGATGAACTGGAATGAAAGTAGTATCGGATTAACATCAGATTTAGACCTGTTTTTAAATGGATTGTTACTCATGTTAGTACTGGCACGTAGAATTACCAGATGAGTGTATTAGAATAGAAACAACACTAACAGTAGAATATCCAGCAAGTACTTACTTAATTATTTAAGCCTGTTTCTCCTCGTGAAGAAGCATAGGCCACCCGCCACCACTCTCCATCTTACCCTGTCCTGGACAATCCTTTCCAGCTCTTTCCCGTTGCTAAACATCCTTTTCATATCTGATTCTATTTCCCGACGTAATGTGTTCTTTGGCCTTCCTCTTTTCCACTTCCTTTCAGGATTCCAAGTTAGGGCTTGCCTCGTGATGCAGTTTGATGATTTCTGTAATGTATGTCCTATCCACTTCCAACGTCTTTTCTTAATTTCTTCTTCAGCTGGAAGCTGGTCTGTTCTCTCCCACAAAAGGCTGTTGCTGATGGTATCCGGCCAATGAATGTTAAGTATCCTGCGTAGACAGCTGTTTATAAATAACTGTACCCTCTTGATGGTGGTTGTTGTAGTTCTCTAAGTTTCAGCTCCGTACAGTAGAACTGCAAGTATAGTAACGGAAAATTAAATTAACTGAATATAATTCACTAGGACTACTGAACATTCCTAGTGGCAACGAAATGTTGTTTCGGCAGTCCTGATTATGATTATCAGTCTGTGTTTACTGTTCGTATTTACGGGACGAAATTGAAACTGATTCATGAAATAAGTGTAATGATAGGGAATATTAAACTGTTTAAGTGTAAATTAACTTGACTGACATAATCATCGGATTGAATTTTATCTTGACAGTAAGTCAACTTGATTTTTTTGTTCGATTTCAGCACACACGACCACCGTTGAGGTTAATAGTCGTAAGTAACAATAGACATGAAATTCACTTGGTTGTCTGAATCATTATGTCTATATACAAATTTGTATGACGAGTACTGTATTACAAAAGGTTGTGCAATTCTTTTCTTCATTTATTGCAAAATACTACTTGGTTCTAAGTTTAATCAGGAGGCCCAACTATGATTATTGAATTAGGAAAAAATTAAATGAGGTGGACTGGAAAATATTATTAGGATTGTGTTTATTGTTGTCCTGAATAGTACAGTGTATCTGAATGAGGGTGAAATGAAATGTTGATATCGATGAATGAGTGTTGTGCTGTCTTAATCATTTTTCGTGTGGTCGAGCAGTCTAAGGCGTATGATCTAGGCACCAGTGAGAAACCGGCATTGGATCGAATCCTACCCCAAACATACCTGTTCACAATCAACCCCATCGCACTATCACTTCACACACAATCCCAACGATCGCAAACATACTACCACGATCACACAATCACAGCCAATCATCATCAACAACACCACAACCACTACCTCACACTCTCCACCTTCTCACTCCGTTCCGTTTCGTACAATTTACAACACCGAGCAGTCACAGTCCATTTCTTAGTCCCACTCACAGACAACATCGTCTCACTGTATTGAACTACTGTTATATATATGGTGATGCGTGATGAGTGGTGAGTGAGTGAGCGAGGAGGAAATGGTTGCCATCAGGTTTACTGACGGACAGATCTGGTGACTCTTAAATTACGCATAATCAAAATATACTGTAAACCAATCAACATTTTAAAATTCTTTAGTTAACTCCCCCAACTTCAACTGAGGATTCTGTCTGCACGTTAAGTTGTGTCAATTGAGATACCATGTTTATTCTTTTTTCGTCTTGTATAATCATGACTCCAGCTTAAATATATCTAAGCTACACAAACGTCTTCCTAAACATCATGAGGAAGTTAATAAACAATTAATTAAATCTGCAACAGCAGTACATTTTGTTTTCAAAAACGATCGAATCGATATTAAAAATAACAATGATCTAAAATGATTTTCCTTAATATAAAGAAAACCAACTATCTGACAATGTCTACTATGTTCAATCGAGCACTTATCTAGACAACCACATTTATCAGCATAGAGTTGCGGAGATAGTTAACGTTTGAATAAGTTCATGAATGGATCAATCTTAGAGAACCATTGAAGACCTAGAAGTATTGGACGACCGTTTTGTCCTAGTATGGGACTCCTCAGCAGGGCGCATCCACGACTTTGCACGCGGGATCAACGTGAAGCCGTTACTCACTGAAGACAACAGTGGACGGTCGCATAATATCGTGAATTGCTTAACACTTTTGGATGCCAACTTGATGGTCTAAAAGTTAAGTTCCCGCACATGAGACCGAAAGTCCTGGACTCGGATCCCGTATGTGGGACCGTGGATTTGCACGTCTGAGGAGTCCCATACTAGGACGGAACAGTCGTCCAGTGCTTCTAGATTCCTAATGGTAGCCTGACATTGATCCCTTCACAAACAGTTTTCCATAATTCTGATAAATTAATCTCAAATTTTCTTTTCAATCTATTTTGGGCATCCTGTTATGCTACCAGTGTCAATTCAATAGGAGACTATATATTCGTATGTGAAACTTGATGAGACTATAATTTATGAACGACCTTTGAACGACGCTAAACTGATCTTCAGAGTACCCACCTAATAACTAGGATCAAATGAAGATTATAAACCATTGTGGAGAATTAAAATTATAATTTACAGTTTATGGTTAAGGTTAAGAATTAGATTTAGAGTTTTCGTCATGAACTGATATCAACTACAATGCTAAAACTGTATTTAGCCAAATGGATGAATGATTTTCGCGCCAAAATTCAAGGCCTGTTATGTTATATCTGATTGGCTCGTCCATAAATTCTAGTCTCGCCATTACTTCCTTAAATATAACTTAGTTTTTCTAGTGCAGCTTTTCCATTAAACATAAATTTTTAGTTTCCTTCAAAGAAAGTAAGTTTTCCCATAAAAAACATTGATTTTAAAAGTATATCCTTTGTTCCTGGGTTATGGGTTTTTTCGTCCAAAACATTAACCGATCAGAGTTGCACCACCTATGAAAACTCGAAAACACTGGACGTCCATTTTGTTCTAGTATGAAACTTCTCAACATTGTACGTCCATGACCTTAATCCTGGGTTTTATTCCGGTGTGGTTAAAGCAAACATCAGAAACTAAGTAAGTTTATTAATTTGACTTAAGAATTAAGTGCCACGAGTAATACAATGTTATAGCAAGTTAATCACTAAGTGACCAATATTTATGTCAATTTATTCTAATGTTCCTTGTTTGTGTTTTGACACTGCAGAAATTGTCAACTTATGTAAGTGGTCAGTAATTGAGATGAGTAATATATACACTAGTAGGTTGGTTTAACAGTTCTCATTTCAGAAGGAGTTTTGTGGATATTAAAGCGATTTAATAGTTAAGTTCATGAGTCAATTAAATGTAGACGAACATGGAAAAACCTGCAAGCACTGGACGGCCGTGACCAGTGGAGTTCAAATGGGTTTGATGACAGTGGTGGACGGTGGCGCAATTTCGTGGATTATTTGAAGTTAGATATTAACACTGTTAGATGCCGGTAAGTCCAACGGTCTAGTGATTAAGCATTTTCGCATGACACCTACAGATGCTGGGTTGAAACCTCGCGAGGCGGGATCATGGATGCATACTTTTGAGGAGTCTCATACTAAGATGAAACGTTCGTCCAGTGCTTCCAGGTTTTCCATAATGACCCAGCTTCAATTGACTCACGAACTCAACTATCAAGTTAATAAATTGTCAACAACTTAATTTACTATTTCAATCCATCTTGTTATCAATTTTGTCTCTTTCTACATTAATTTATTATACAGACAAAAATTGGATGAATGAAAAAGGTATGTAATTTTGTATTGTTATAACAAAGAAATCAATAAGTCACCTTTTACTTGGCTAAATGCGTCAATGTAATATCTCAATGAGTAGAAAATTGTATTATGGATATTTCGTAACTTAATCTAAGTCATTTCTTCAGAATGAATAAATAACCAAAATATAATTAATACAAGTTTAAATACAATATACTACTGATGAACTGAGTTAGATTAAGTCACGAAACATCAGAAAAATAACATTCTACTCATTGAGATATCAGACAAATACTTAGTTTATATGAAACTATCTAGTACAAGTTTGACATAATGTTATATTATGTGACTGTAGCAATATAACAATTATAGAACGGGTAGGATGTCATCCGTATGACGTTGTGAAGATTGTTAAGTTTTTGATTGGGATCAGTTATCAATTAGATAAGTCTTTTAAATGAACGCTAAATTCGGTTTGATAAGCTCTTTTGATAACCTTCAGGTTGAATCTACACAACGACTTGAACATGAGAGAAAAGATTCGAAATATAGAAGGAGAGGCTTTACTTCAAAGGTTTGTTTATGTACAGAAAATCTAGGGATTTATAGTATTTTAGATGGATTTGGATTTCTGGACAATTCTGGAACGGTACTAAACATAGCAGCAGTATAAGTAATCATTCAATCAGAAAGTTTATATGTGATTTTTTACCATGTAGATGTTCCCGGCAAAAAGTTTTCAGAACATTTCTTGGCTTAGTTTTTCGAGTTTTTCTAGATTTCTCCAACACAATTAATGATAAACTAGAAGATAACCTAGAAGCACTGTGATATCAATAATGATTTTATGAAATTGCAGTGCTACTACTGCAGTGTAATTAGAAATCCTTCATGTTTCACGGTGAATACAACATGTGAGATATACATTTTGTTGATTGGAAATCTATCCAATCCATAAACATATATCTCATGATTAATAGTTTGAGTAACTTCATTTACGTTATATTTGACTTTCTTTACTAATCATAAGCAATTAAATTCATTTACGAATGGTTCATCATCCATTGTGAAGATTGTATCTGTCTTTATGTATTCTACAGATTATAATCCACCGAAAGAGAGGTCAGTAATTAATTATTAACATAACCGTTTTATCTATTCTCTTCTAAATGTAATCCTTATAAACCTTAAAGTATCTTGATCACTTTAACTAAAGAATTGTGAAACAACATGAATTCTAATTTAATAGTTAAATTCATTAATCAATTGAAGCTAGGCAAACATGGAAAATCTAGAAGCATTGGATGACCGTTTCGTCTTAATATGGGACTCCTCCTTGGCAGTACGCATCCACGATCCCGCTTTATGTGATTCAAACACAGGATCGGTCCGTCTTGCGCGCGAACACTTAACCACTAAAACACTGAACCTGCCGGCATGCAACAGTGTTAATGTCTAACCTCAACCAATATATGAAATCGAGCGACGCAACCATCATTGTCATCAGTGAGTTACTATTTCAAAATAGACCAAGTTGAACTCCACTGGTCACTGCTTATCACTAGAACTCCAAGAAATAGCTCTTAGAGACAATCACTAGTGAGCATATATTGATTAGTATTAGAAGGGGTTTTTGTGAATATTATAGTAATTTCAATAGTTGAGTTCATGAGTCAATTAAAGTCAAACCACCATAGAAAACCTGGAAGCACTGGCTGGTCATCTCATCCTTGTATGGAACTCCTTAGCAGTGCGCATCCACAAACCCATAGTTCCAAAGTATGACGAAACAAATACCGTCAGTAATCAGACCTATGAGGAAGACAACCAAAAGAAATGTCTATACATCATGAATACATTGATAGATAACAACTAATTAATTTCCATATAGTGAGAATAAGATGTTTATCGCTAGTAGAGATATTCTAATAGTTTAAGAAGTCCTCTTCCAATGAAAATATATGATATACAATCGGAGAATATTCTTCGTGGTTAATTCACATAAGATTTTAAGATAATAAATCTAAATAATCGATTCAAAGCAATCGGGTCGTTGGAAAATAGAATAAAATTCTTAAAGTTAGCTTCCAAATGCCCTGGTACGGTCGAGAGTGGCGAGAGTCTGCTCCCCTTCTTTTAATGCTCTCGCATAGTCACGCGTATAAGCCACTACCAAGAAAGTCATATCACTGCCTTCTCGCAACAAGGGTGTTTCTCATGAAACTAAGTGGACGACTAGCGAATGTTCGACGCTTTAATCGGGTTGATGAATACGAAATATACAATTTAGTGGAGCTGTAAAACCTTATTGTAAACCAATGGTGCACATGGGTTCCAGGATCTTGAAGGAACAAATGAAGTATCAACCAATTGTTGGCCACCGGCTACCATAAGACTGTATCTCCTGACATTGATCCACTGCCTTGTGGATTAGACCTTTAGGTTGAAGACTACGACTGCTTCCCCTCAGAAAACCATCTACTTTGATCTGGGCACCCAGGTAGTATCATAGCCCATACAAAAATTAAGTGATTTGTGTGGCTCATATGTATTCGGTGCCCCTTTTGTGCCCATATTTATGTGTTCAAATAAATAAATAAATCGGTAAAATTATCGTTTAAATATCGGGTAAAAGAAATTCGGTTACAAATTTGACTATATATTTGATCAATGATTAACCAGTACATAGAATGATATACATGAAGTAGACATGTGAATAGTCATTTTATTGTTAAGATTTGTACTTTCACAGATCATATTTATGATATTCACATATAAAGGATGTGTATGTGAACATTTGTCTTCAGTGACCAATGGAGCTAATCCATGTCGGGTAGAGACAGATATCTACCTCAGTACAATGGAAGATGGTCGCTCAAATTCATGGATTGGTTAATGTTAGTCACTAAAGCCATTGGATGCCGGCTCAGTGGTCCAGTAGGTTAAGCGTTCGCACGCGAGACTGAAGGCCCTGGGTTCGAATTCGCGAAGGAGCGGGATCGTGGATACGCACTGATGAGGAGTCACACAATAGAACAAAACGGCCATCCAGTGCTTCCAGGTTTCTAACGGTTATCTAGCATCAGTCAGTTCATGATCTCAATCAAAAACTTAATAATTTCCACAACTCATATACCGATAACAGTAAATAGATCATCGAGTTCTATAGTTAACAATTCATAATTCTCGTGTCGCCATTAGCCAAATCATGGTATAGATGAATAAGCTGACTGAATAATGTTCTAGGCTAATAATAGTGAACTTTCACATTGATACACCTTGCTGATCAATACTGACTAGCACAGAAACTAATTTCAGGTTTCCCTATCAACTATCCACAACCCCCACCCGTTAGCATTTACTCACCCATATTTGGCCGGAACAATTACCCTATCTAAAATTTTATTTACTTAAACGTTTTAATTGTAGTGAATTCTATGAAAGATTTTGGTAAGTAGATCAGTGTAACGAACTATTTTCTTCTACTATCTCTCTAAACAGTCCGTTTGAACTTGGATCATTACGAGAAATTAAACTATTAGCCGAATATTTCATGTATTGGATATTAATACTAATGTTTAATTAACAAAGAATTGTATTCAAAGAAATAGTTTAGATTCAAGATTCAATCATTTAAGGATTGTCTGTATGATATCATTCAATGTCTTTATTGAAGATCAAAGTTGACTAATCTATGATGATATAGATTATTTTAAAAGAATGATTACTTCACTCATGTCAGTATTCTGATGTACATGTAGTTATATTACAATTCAGTGGTTTTTATAACTGATAATACTGTGATGTATGCTACTGATCTCGACAGATATATAAGTAGTATATATCATCAACCAAAAGTGAAATGCCTGTAGAAAAGAGAACAAGACCAATGAATGATTGATGTGAAATCGAAAGAACAATAAAGTCTGAGACGATTATTTGAAATTTTGCAAATTAAGCATTCAATGTATGATTCTCAGATTTTATTAAGAGATTCTGTAATTTTGTATTCATATACATTCGATTATCTCCCATTTGTGTTCCTGCTCACTACAATATAAACAGATCATTCATACGATTCGACCGTTTGAATATGCATGAATTCATATTTGTAATGTTAAGGGATGCTTGGTACCTGTGTGGTTGTGCCACAGGATTGAGCTATACTATTCAGATTGTAGTGTTAAAGCCTATATGGTGACTGGTTCTCCTGTGAAGCAAGATTGAGCTGTACTGCTCGGTTTATAAAATTTAAGCCTGGGTGGTGTCTGGCTCTCTTGTTAAACGGGGTTGAGCTGTACTGTTTGGGTTGTCATGTGAAAGTCAGGATGGTGTCTGGTTCTCCTGAAAACCAATGTAAATTACCCTGGCCCACAAGGGTATATTATATAATGTTAAAAGATATGGTATACCACTACTGTTACTCAAAACAATGAAGTGTGTATTAAACAGAATTTGTCTAGTAATTCATGGTGTTATGTTTATACCAAGTATATTTTGTTCGATTCTCCAATAAACATGAAAGAAACTACTTTATTAAGTAATATGTAACGGTGCAAACCAACTGATGAACATTTTATTCTCGTTGAGATTTCTATGATTAATCAACTTCCTAAACAATTCACCAAATAGTATTGTGTGATACAACAGGGAACGAGGTCCTTAAATGACTGAACAGTAAATTTTACAGTTCATTATGATTCACATAGCATATTAAATAAAATGTTATTTGTAACTAAGCATATTGAAAAAAAAAGCAAGACTGATAAGTCCTGGATTCTAATCTCACGAGGCGGAATCGTGGATGTGTACTGTCAAGGAGGAGTCTCATACTAGGATGAAACGGCCGTTCAGTGTTTCCAGGTTTTCTACAATGATCTAGCTTCAGTTGGCCCATGAATTCATCTACTAAATTGCTTTTAACAACCGTTGAATACTCAAACAAATCGTAAACTTATATAGTTTGTAATTAATATTGTATATTTCAGATAGGCTTCATTCAGTGAACAAGTGGTCACTCTGAAGCAGTGGCTGACATTAAGTTACGAAACACAGGTTCCCTAGTCATTGGAATATAACAAAAATATATTTATTATTAATTCTGTAACCAATGCTCAATTTATTGGAAAGTACGACTGTTAAATTCATTTGGTATTATTTACTTAAATCTTCCCATTGATGTCTAGCACTGCAATTGATCAGTCTCTCTCTTATTGGTATATGTGCATACTGTACGTATTGCCTTGATATTGCCTTTATTCATAAGCATTATAATCCAAGATTGATACTGGCTAACAGTGGAATCCAGTAATATGAATTTAAACTTCATCCAATTACACAAGCAAGTGGTTATGAGGACTCAGTAACTAAGTGGATTACGCGATAGCGTTTGAAGCGAACTCTACTAGGTTCGAATCTTAGAGCGGTCATCAACTCTGAGATACAGGTACATCCAGTTGACGAGTCCCAAATAGTAGGCAATGCGCTTCCTGGATTCCACTACTAGCCACTACTCATCTTGACTTAAAAAGCATGTGAATTAAGGCTATCTGAAAGAGATCCTCACACAGGATGCACATATGCCAGTAAGAGAGAGACTGATCAATTGCAGTCCTAAATAACAATCGGAAGATAAAAGTAAACAACATCAAGTGAATATAACTGATTACAGTTGAAAATTACAAAACACCAATTTAACAAATCAATAATAAACAAATAAAAATGAAGAAGAAAGGAGAAAAAAACGACTGAAACATACCACTAATGGAAAATAGAGCCAAGGGAGGATGAGAGGTTGGACGAATCGTATTCGTATATAAAGTTCTGGCCTAAGTTCGTAGATTACCAATGCTTCATCAATGTATAAAATATTGATTCGACTTTCCTTTGATCTAATTCCTTTTGACTGTGTAGATTACTTTAAAAGATGATTCCTGTGAATCAATACGTCTATAGTCGGTTAAATGATACAGATTTTATTATTTTGATCTTTATGTTTGTCATTTTTTCTTCAAATCTGTCAATTGGACAATTATCAAGACCCGTAAATTGTTTTCGTCTTCATATTCCTTCCTTATCTCTTCATTATTGTGTAACTTCATTTGATAATAAGAGTCTTACATCAGTTTATAATCTAATTATCTCTATTCTTCTATAGACTCATATATTTTACACAATAACTATAAATACGAATATATATACAACTGTTATATCCTAGTGAAGATCAATTTACGGGTACCTTCTGAGAACTATTAGTTTATTTATTCATTTATTTGAACACATAAATATTGGTACAAGAGGGCATCAAATATACATGCGCCACACTTTTGTGTGATGGCTGTGATACTGTCTGGGTGCCCAGACTGAAGCAGGTGGTTTTCTTAGGGGGCCACACTCCGAGCCTTTGACCTAAAAGTCTAACCCACAAGGCAGTGGAGCATCGTCAGGAGATCCAGTCCCATGGTAGCCGGTGATCAAAAATTGGTTCATACACCATTTGTTCATGCAGGATTCTGGAGCCCATGCGCACCATTGGTTTGGGATCCGGTTAAAGCGCCGGACATTCGCTTTTCGTCCTCTGATTTTCGTAAACAACACCCCCGGTGAGAAAAGGCAGTGAGTAGGACTTCCCTGACAGAGGCTGTATACGCGTGGCTGTGTGAGAGTATTTCGAGAGGAAGGGCGGGCCCACCCCACTCTCGGCCATACCAGGGCATTTGGGAGCTAATATCATACATATATTCTTATAGTATAACTATCCAATAGTTAGATTATGCATATATATATTCTTCTTATTATAGGCTTCGTTTTTACCCATTGACTATTATTATACGATTTACCGTTCTTGAGTTATGTTCAGTTTATTGATTACAGTCTCCCACGTTCACGGTCACTTTTTGGCTTGATCTTGTATAAATGTTAGTTTCTATTATATGATGTAATGCAGTCTATTTGGCTAGTATATAAACCAAATATGTTTGAAACAAATGATTCGTATAATGGAAGCTGTTATTAGCATTCTGAACTCAACTGGATGGGCTAAGTGAGAAATGAACCAATAAAGACGCTAAGTTGCTCATACTGATCAAACGTCATTGAGTTGGCATAGTGCCAACATTGTATAAATTCTATTTCAATTAGCGAATAAATCAAGTGATAACAAATCGGCTTTCAAGTCACAACAACAACAACAACAATAACTTAAGTAAATGATTACGTTGAAAAGAAATAACCTTCTTCATTAACTTTAATCATAAAAGTTAATGATCATTTAAATATCCTGGACAAGTTCTCCGATGATGCTTCTGTATTTTTTTTGTTTTAATTATTTAGGGAATTATTTAAACATTGTTTTTTAAATTCAGAACAATTAAAGAAAATTCTGCCATTTTGAATTCGGATCAAATTTGAGTTCATTATGAATGAGACTATTTAAACGATTGATGAAGTTTGTTTGTTTTTTTTGTTCAATGAAAAAAATTGATGATACATTTAAGCTGTGAAATATATTCATATACAAAAAGTGTTTTATATTAGAATGTAATTGAATAATGAATAATTTATTAATGTAGAATGAGAGGGGTTTGTGGATATTACAATACTTTTATTAGTTGAGATCCTGAAATACTAGATGGCTGCCTCGTGGGATTCAGAACCAGGAGCTCCGATCTTGCGCGCGAACTCCTAACTTCTAGATCACTAAGCATGCCGACATCCAACGGTGTTATTATCTAACTTCAACTAATCCATGAAATTGAGCCACATGTCCACCATTGTATGCAGTGAGTTACTATCTCATAACAGACCAAAGATCATGGCTTCTCACTAGAACCCCAGGAAATACATCTTGGAGACCGTCATTAGTGAGCATATGATGAATATAATCAGAGAGGGGTTTAGTGAATATTACAGTAATTTATTAGTTGACAATGGTGACGTATTATCGTGAATTGGTTGAAGTTAGAAATTAACACCGTTGGATGTCGGATCATTGGCCTACAGCTTAAGCATTCGCGTGCAAGACCGATAGGTCATTGGTTCGAATCTCTCGAAGCGTGATCGTGGGTGCGCACTGCTGAGGGATCCCACAATAGAATGAAATGGTCATTCAGTGCTTCCAGGTTTTCTGTGGTGATCTAGCTTCATTTGGCTCATGAATTCAACTAATAAAATTGATGTATACATCAGTAATCCGATTAAATGTCAAACCTAACTTTTTTTAGAATTGTTCCTTTATTTATAAATTTAATTCTTCCGAGTATATGACGTCAGTTGTAATAAGATGGTGTTTGAGGTAGTCAACAGGAATCCCTGGGTCTAGGTTTCGTGCTACTTGGCACTCTTCAGCATGGTGTACTAAATGTCGAGTCACCTAGACTGGTGGCCACATTGCAACGTGGTCGATAGGATTCGATCTACACTAAGAAGAACCTGACATAAATGACATTGATCACCACCCAGTGATCAGTCAGTTTCATATACATCTCAGTCCTACAGGATGTCGGTCGTGACCCGAATAGCTCAGTGATAACGTCTCTGACTGTGAAGTTGGGTGATAGGGGATCGAGTCCGTCAAGGCGCATCAGTTCCCTCAAGATTACAGGTAAACCTTGTCGACGAGTGCCAAATAGCACGAAGCCTAGGTACAGGGTTTCCTGTTGACTAATTTCAACCTCCATCTTATCTCAATATAGTGCACGCAATGTCGAGTCACCTAGACTGGTGGGCACATTGCAACTTGGTCGATAGGATTTGATCTACACTAAGAAAAATCTGACATTAATCACCACCCAGTGATCAAACAATTGCTAGTTTTAATAATTCCTGGTTGTTAAATATTTACAAATACTTGAATATAAATGAAGTTCCTTTAAGTCCTAGTTTCTGAATATGGTTTGAGGACTAATAAAATTATTGATTTGTAAAAATCTGTATCTTTTGATCTATGTTCAAATAGTTAAACTAAATGATTGAAATAATTTGGCGAACATTTGCAGTTCAAATGGATGGTTTTGATGGAGTTTTATTCTCTGAGTTAAATGGTTTGGTTATGCACTTTTTATTGTTCTTCTAAATGACATCATCAGCACAAACGTCAGGTAGAAGTACTGATGATATCGTTCAGAAGAACAATGAAAGCTCCACAACCGAACTTTTCAGCTCAGAGAACAAAACTACATCAAAATAATCCACCTGAACTACAAATCTTCTTCACTTCTGATTAGTGTTATATACTACTTAAGTAGTACATGTACACTGGCGAACAACATTTATGAATTACATCAATGAATTCATATCAGAATTGTATATGATAACTTCTTTTTTCTCTGACAAAAAGAGATTTAAGATGTGTTGATATCACAGATATGAATATATATTCTCTCATCAACAATAAACACAGTTACTAGGAACATTGAAACTGGAAGAAAATCCCATTCATTTTGATTGTATATTGTTTTATTCAAATACAAATATCATTTCCATCGAAATGAATTTAATCAATAGATTATCCTAAAAGAACCATCCATGTGCTGAAACTGGTAAGACAATGTTTTACAAGTTTCCTGTAATTGAAATAAATAAATTGAATTGTGGTTATTAATTACAATGAAAGCATTCAAAAAGTAATCTATTGTTTAGATTAGGTAAACTATATCATTTGAATGTTATAGTAGATGTTCTGTTATACTAAGGCAATACTAGCAAGGAAACAGAGATAACATTATAGAGTTGTTTCATCTAAGTATAAGACTCGTCAGTAAGGAATATACTACGATCAAATCTGAAGCAGTTGCGGTTTGTGATAAGTGAATGACTAACTGGTATGCTTGAATACACAGAGCTACAATCTTCAGAAATTGATTACTTTATCAAAGAATGTATTTGCCTTGATATTCTAATTAGTAAATTTTAAACTAAAGGACGAGTTTACTGTGCGGCAGTTTGTTCCGTCCTAATTTATGGTAGTGAAACATGGACGGTAAGGGTAGAGGATATTCTCAGGTTACTAGTATTCGATCATAGGTGTCTTCGAAGCATTGCTCGTATATCCTGGGACCACCGAGTAAGTAATTCAATTGTTAGGTAACAGGTACTAAGTAAGAATTGCAAATCAGTTGATGAAGTAGTGAAACCTCATCAGATGAGGTGGCTGGGAAACGTCCTACGTATACCAAACCACCGAATGCCCTGATGTGCGATGCTTCATGATGTAGGAGTAGGATGGAAAAAAGCTAGGGGCGGCCAGAACAAAACATTGTACAAATACATGAAATCACTGACAAGTGAACTGAGCTATGTTGGTGTGTGTAGACTACCTGGTTGGGATCCACGAGGTGATAGCAACCGATGGTTATAGACCTTGAATGACATGGCTGGAAATCGTTTGTAATGGTTCAGGTGCACTAACTCTTTGTGTTCTCCCAAATTCTAATCTTCTGAATTCTTCATATCCCTTTTTTCTCTTTAAAAATTTATTTCATTGGATTAAACTGCTTGAATAAAGTCTTCAAACGCTAATCTTTTCGATTACTGCTTATACTCTTACTACCTTTACCACCACGGGATTTGAATCGACAACTGCATCTCTGTGCTAATGTGGTATGGCAATTTGAACTGATGTAGGTATATACGGAACTCTTCGTTGTTACTGACTGACTGACTGACTAACTGACCTAAAATCCTCACTCAAACTACTAAAGAACTTTATCCATAATAAGTGAAAACTAAATTCAGTTGTGGATCATTTAACGCCTTATTGTATTTTAAATCCAGGATTGAATTTGACAATCTTTTTGGGTCACCTAGGCAACACCGGCTAGTAGATGAGTTGATGTATATAAGTTTTTAATACTTGTTTACAAATCGATAAATCAATCCCTTCTTCACAAATTACATAATAATATTGGAAGTAAGAGTATAACCTGTTGAAATAGTACAAATTTATGTCAGTTAGTCAGTTTCAACGTAGAACCAGGCACATATATGCATCGGTCCAAGTTGCTATCCCTCATTAGCACAACAAAATGAACACTGGATTCATAGAAACAGTTAATTCAATGGTCGTAATATATAAAAGAAAGATTGTGTATAGGGGTATAGTACAGGGAGAAAGAATTTGTTCGTGGAAAGAAATATATGAAGCGATTTTAATCTCATATTTTAAGGGAACACAGAAAGTATATACACCGACACCATTGTGATGGATTCTAAGCCATGCCACCAAAAGTCTCCAACCATTGGTTAGGATAGTCACGCGGAACCCAACCAGGTAGTCTACATCTACCAACTTGGCTAAGACTGGAAGTCAGTAACTTCAAGCACTGATGCCACGTTTTGGTTTGGCCGCGCCTAACTTTCTCACAACCATTACAACACTAGTCAGCATTGTGCGTCATGGTAATCTGTGTAGAAAATTTTAAATATGACAGTATATCCTCATTTCTTATATCTCAGGTAAAGTTAATTGTTTATTTTATGGCTAAGGAAATATCATGTAAATGTACAATTGCTTGAGTATTAGTTTACATTATAATGGAAGATGAACATTTTACTACTGGCTATTTTATTAGTAATATATATAATTATTATCGAAAAGGAGTTTCATGGATATTGTAATTTAATAGTTGAGTTCATGAGCCCACTAGTCATTGGCTTCAAGAGGGATTTCCTGGAGTTCTAGTGAGAAGCCATGACCAATGGAGTTCACCCAGGTCTGTTGTGAGATAGTAACTCACTGAAGACAATAGTGAACGGTGGCGCAATTTCTTGGATTGGTTGAAGTTAGATATTAACACCGTTGGATGCCATCTCAGTGATCTAGTGGTTAGGAGTTAGCGCGTGAGACTGATAGGTTTCAGGTTCGAATTCTGCGAGCGGGATCGTAGATGCTCACTGCAGAGTCACATACTAGGAATTCCAGGTTTTCTATGGTAGTTCAGCTTCATCTGACTCGTGATATATATAAATATAAATTTGCAAAATTCTTCAACATTCATTTAAAGATTTACTCTTACAAGAATCTGTCTGTTGAAGTCCTAAAGTGTGTTTAAAATAAAATTACAATTAAATTGATGATAGAAAGTATAAAAAATTCTTTTTTTAAAATAATATAAAAAAATCTAAATTGTGATGATGAGCCAGAAGTGAACTCGAGGAACTACTAAGAAGCTCAGAAAGAGCCGAAGATATTGCATTCAATCATCTTTTGAAAGAATATTCCAGAATCCTTACCTGTAATCAATCAAAAGTAAATGATAAGAATCTACAGTCGAATTAGATTAGGTTCTAGTTCTTCTCGCTTAATATAGTATGTTAAGAGTCTTTCAAGGAAGTTGAAATCAATCGAAGGGTTCAATATGTATAGAATTTAAACGTGAGAATGTGAGACCGATAGGTCATGGGTTCAAATTCTGCAGGCGGAAACGTGGATGCGCACTCCTGAGGAGTCTCATGCTAGGAAGAAACTTCCGTCCACTGTCACCAGGTATAGGTGATAGTAATTCACAGAACTACAATTTGACTACCTTTAAACTAAGATATCAGATGAACGTTTTTTCTCAAAAATAATAAACATTCAGGAACTGTTCAGTGAATCAAACTAAGATAGAAAATCAAAACAGGTGAGACTATAATTTATGAACGAACCAATCAGATTTAGGATAACAGATCTTGGATTTTAGCGCGAATTTCATTTATTCATTTGGCTAAATAGCGTCTTGGCATTTAAGCTGATGTCAGTTGGTGATAAAAAAATGAATCATAATCTTTATTCTTTAAACTGCTACTATAGCCGTCATTTAGCTCTGGTAACTAGGTAGAAACTCTCAAGGTCACTTTGGTGTCACTCAAAGATCATCCATAAATTATAGTCTCACCTATTTACCTATTAAATTCACATTGTATAATTATATGATCAACATACGAATTGTCCACAACAACAAATGCTGTTTAATAAAGAAAGAATAATGTTTTATGGATTACAATCATCAATGTTACATAATAATATAACCAACGTATTACATAATATACTAATGAAATACATAAACTATTGTCATACGCTTTAAATTCATGTTTACTGCATTCGACTTTCATTCTGCACTTGGATGGTTGTTTTGTCCCAGTATGGGACTCCTCAGCAGCCCGCATCTAGGATTTGAATTTAGAGACTTCGGTCTCAATTAGTAGTTTCACAGTCCGTATAGAATCATCATAAAAACCTTTATAAACATTTAAATTCTGAATGACAGCATGTTAGTTAGTATGTAATTTTAAGATTCTACGATAGATTATGTTTGTCTTCAACATGATCTAATTATATTTCTGACAGAAGTAAAGTAACATCAAACTATAGTTATGTGCAATACCTTAGATTGTCAAAGTTTACTACATAGATTAATAATGATACATTTGGAAAGATAAGCGAATTGCTGGTGTACAACGAAGTCAAGTATCTAAGGTTTGTAAAAAAGTTACTTCTGGAACTATCTTCACGGAAACTAACTTTTAGTAGTTTCATCTTGTATATAAATCGCTCGTAGCAACTGCTGTATGAATCGCTACACAGTAAACACGTACAGCAAATGTGATTTTTACGCTCTTTGTGACCTCATAGTCCTCATTGGGATTAGCGAAAGTCATTATTAACTTTAAATAAAGCTACCAGTTATCATTCACACTATTAAATTTTGTAGTTGACCTTTATGTTATAACAAGTAGCTATTGTCACAATATTTTGGCGCCGAGTTAATGTGAGACATTGAAGAGAAAGAACGTATTTGTAAAATCTCAACGAAAGAATTTGAAGTGAATCCAACGTTTCACTTCAAATTCTTTCGATAAGATTTTACAAATAAGAGGCTATTCTATTCCCAGTTAAGCAGACACGTTAATTGTCACAGATACTCCATGAGTTGAGCTCTGTAACTGATTTATATATCAGCAACAATGACAGAGTCCTTCACTAGGTAAATTGTTGTTCTGAATGTCGATTTCATGAGAATTTTAGCTATGCTGTTAGACAATTCAGCAAACTTATAACCACCTAATGATTCAAATATCAACTTATAATCCAATAAGAAAGTCAACAATGAGAACTTTTGTTATGCGTGCTTATAGGTAATTAGAGACAAATCAGAACATAGACTTGGATGGAAAAACATAAAACTTTGATAAAAAGGATTATACCATCATCTACATTTATTATCAGACTAATAATGAATTCTTACTTGTAGGGGGTTTCTTTTTGACTAAATCAAATTAAACGATAATTATCAGTTTGAAATTGTGATGATTGTAAAAATTTTGGTTGAGGTCATGAATCGATTGATGTTAGACCACCATTGAAAATCTGGAGGCACTAGACGTCCATTTTATCCTAGTATGAGACTCTTCCACATAAGCGATTCGAAACAGGGATCTTTGGTTTAGCATGTGAACGCTTAATTTCGAGACAAATGATCCGGCATCCAACGGTATTATTATCTAACTTCATCCAATTCATGATATTGAAATGAAATAATTTCGACACTTTAAATGTTATACATTAGGTAAATGTTTCAGTATAGTCTTTAACTATTTAGCTTATATGTCGTATCTAAATTGGGGTTGTTATAACTACTTGCAGTTTTTTTGGGGGAATGACTAAATATACAACAAAGTATGATTGTTAGTATCAAGAATAAGCAAACCTAGTTCATCACGTTTAAAATTTTCAATTGAATAGTCTTAAAACCTCGTCCTTTCTGTAATATATATATATAAATATATATACTAATATTATTGTTAGAAGGGGTTTTGCGGATATTGTAGTCATTTTAATAGTTGAGATTATTAGCCAAGTGACTGAACAGCCGTTTCATCCTAATGTGGAACTTCTCAGCAGTGCACATCCACGATCTCGCCTTACGGAATTCGAACTCATGGCCTAACAGTTTTGCAAGCGAGCGCTTAACTGGCCATCCAGTGCTTCCAGGTTTTCCATAGTGATCTAGCTTCAATTGATTCATGATCTAAACTATTAAAATTAATATTATCGTGTATACTATTTATGTTGACAGGTAGATGTGGTATTTAACACAAATCAGAAGTGAAATGTTTGATAGTAGAAGATTGAGAAGATTGGACCGAAGAAAAGAAGAAGAGAAACAAAAAGCAATCGTAATAACCATAGAATGGAAAGTATCATGCAGCATATAGGGGATAACCGAAGAAAGATGCAAAGATAATGTATTTTAATATATAGCTCTGGTATTTTAGGAACGTACTCTGTAATTGATTAGTTTTCCCGACGATTAATTTAACGAAAACTAACTTATTTAGTAGCTAACTGTCTCTTCTAATCCGATAGAAGTAAAATATGGTAAATATTTTCAATTTCCAACTCCATCTGTAGTTCTTATAGAGTAACTGACAGTCCCAAACCCAAGTAAAGGAGGAGAGTTGGGCATGAGGTTGACAATTTCATCCCGTTGATCTATCACTTTAGATATTTACTCTTCATAAGTTTAATGGCATAGATGAATACCGATTGGTTAGATAATACATCACTATAAACACAAAAATTAGATCCACCCTTAAGTGAAATATGAAAAGTGAATTAATAAAAATAACACATAATTCACTTACATGCACCTCGAATATTTTCTATGAAATGAATTTTGTATAACATATATTACTGACAACATACTACTCATAAGTTAAATCAATTATTGAATGTTAAATCTAATAAACTGTAAAGATGGATAGTGGCTAACAGTAGAATCCAGTTTGATGCGCGTTTCTTCTATTTGAGACTCGTCAGCTGGATGTATCTGCATCCAAGAGTTGATGATCACTCCGGGACTACAGCTGACGATTCCCAAATATGACGAAACTCACGTCATGGACTCCATTGCTAGGCACCATTCATGTTTACTTGTAATTTGAGGCTATATTGAGGCAATCCGTACAGAATGCACAAATGCCAATGAGAGACTGAACAATTGCAGTGCTAAACATCAATCGCAACATTCAAATAAACAACACAACGTAAATTTAAACTTGACCATATTTCAAAAGCCACTGGTTATCAGGACTCAGTAGCTAAGTGAAGAACACGATGGCGTTCGAAGCAAATGGTATTGCGTTTGAGTCCTATGGTGAATATAAACTGTGAGATGCAGGTACATTCAGCTGACGAGTCCCAAATAGGACGAAATTCGCGTCCTGTATCTCACTGCTAGCCATCATCCATCAATGCTTAAAAAGCTTGTGACTTAAGTCTATATCAAGAAAATCTGCATAGTATGCATATATGCCAATAAGTGACTGATCAATTACAGTCCTAAATAACAATGGAAAGATACATCTAAAACAACATCAAGTAAAAACACACCATGTATACTAATCAATACGATGATAAAGTTTGGTAATCTCTATGAATGCTCCTAGGTAAAATTGGAAATGAATACAGAATTTCCAAATAGTAGTAAATCAATCAAAATTTATCATCTTAGTATTTTTCTAGTTGAAAACAATTGTTAAGTAGTAACCATCTCTACACATTTGAAATAATTCTGTTAAGAAATGGTAACTAACACCTTATTTCTTTGTCATAAATACTTCATTAATTTATATAATAAAATGGCCTTGTGACTTATTATTATATCACCTGACGATACCGCCAATTAGTGAACAGTAGATTGTCAACCAAACCAATGTTGCATAAAATCTGTACGAGCAGTCTAAAGTCCTTATCGGTCTTGCTTCCTGCCTAGCCTTGCTTGCCTATTTAGTCCAGAACACGAATCTTAGCCCCCGTGATATTAACCATGTATTTCAAACATACTGGGTTTATATACAAACAAAACAGATCACATCACATTTGTAAAAGATCTAGCCAAATGTGGCTGTGATTGTGGGAGACTGTGGTTAATAGACTGGCCATAATTCAAGAACGGTTAATCGTATAGTAGTCGTCTATGGATCAAAATGAAGCTTATAATAAGAGAAATATGGATATGCATAGTTTAGCTACATAGCAACAACAGGGTAAAAACATATGTATAGCATCATCGCGTAGATAGATCCTAACAGTTACCATTCATTATTCTCATCGGGATATAACAATAGTGTATTGATGTTTTGTTAGCTAATCATAACTTTCTTTTAATTAAGCTAATTATTGAACAGAAACTTGTATTTAACTAAAATTCTTTATAATTTTCAAGCTGAGGAAGTTCATATGTAATAAGCTAAGTAGTATCATTATGAATTCACTAATTGAGAATTTATAGGTATTCAATACTCCAGTTATATTATGGTGTGAGCTACTTATATCCATATAAGTAGTATATAACGATACTTAGAATTAGAATGTATTTTAGTAGAGGGTTGAGAAGGAAAGGACATGAACGGTAATCAATTGATATGAAAAATGCATGGACAATGAAATCTGAGACGATGGATGGATATTTGCAAAACGAACAGTCAAGTTTGAGACGATGGATCGATATTTGGCAAATTAGCTATTTACTGTATGGATCTCAGATTTTAGTGAGATGTTCTGTAACAGCCTTCTCTGGGAAAGAACAAACCAGATTCCAGCTGAAGAAGAAATTAGGAAAAGACGATGGAAATGGATAGGACATACATTACGCAAATCAAACTACATCACGAGGCAGGCCCCAGCTTGGAATACTAAAGGGAAACGGAGAAGAGGAAGGTCAAAGAACACATTACGTCGGGAAATAGAAGCAGATATGAAAAGGATGAATAATGACTGGAAGGAGCTTGAAAGGATTGTCCATGATAGGGTTGGATGGAGAATGCTAGTGAGCGGCCTATGCTCCTTCATGAGGAGCTTGTTCAATACAATATTACTATTAAGCATTCATATATATATATGTACATATAGTTATGACAATAAAGGAGCTTACTTATTTCAATGGTAGTTATTATGAACAATACAATTAGGCAATATTGTACAAAGGTACTCATAATTGTACAATGAATTATGTAAGGAACTAATAGACTGAAATCATGATAAGAAACCTATTTTTATTATTTGTCGATTCGAAATAAAAAAGAAAAGAAAATGAATCATCCATACGTGTGCGGGCAGTGTGTGTTTAGGGGGTACTTTTAATAGTAGTTACACTTATAGTGAATATGATCCACTAGAATAATTTAAAACTACATAAGTGTTATTCATGGTATGTAATGATAGAGATTATTACATCATACAGAACACTTACATAGATTATTAAAGTATCTTCAAGAATATGCTAAATCTCAATCTAATGGATAGATTGATTGATGCATCATTGTGTGATGAGTTAATTTATGTAAACCATTGTATCTTTATAAACAAAATATGTGGTGAAGATATGTAGCTCAGATGAATGATTTTAATGAAGTTTTGTTCGCTTACCTAAGCGGTTTGGTCATGGAGTTTTGTTCGTTCTTCTGAAAGACACCAGCTCAAAGAATAAAACTCCATCAAAAACAAAACATAAGCCAATGATTATAAACAGATTCATTTTTGATCAACTAAAAGATGATCATATGTATAAATCTGTAGGTTTTTCATTGAAAAAAATTATCATTTTGATAATTCGTCTGTCAAAAATTCTGTTAAGTTTATGTAATAGTTGAAATCATGAGTCAATTGAAGCTAGACCACCATGGAAAACCAGGAAGCAGTGGACGGTCGTTTTGTCCTAACGTTGGACTCCTCAGCAGTGCGCATGCACGATCCTGCCCACCAGTGCTTCCAGGTTTTCCATAGTGTGCTAGCTTCAATTGACTCATGATTTCAACTATTGAACCTTCTAAAATCTTCACAAAACCCCCTCTGATAAAATTTATGTAGCATGAATTGCATCATGCTTAAGATTTTTTATCGCATTTTTTTACACTACTTAAAACATTTTCAGCAGTTCGAGTATGCTTCAACCATCTTTTATTGGCTTTAAACGTTATGATAGTACTTTTTGGTGTGATAAATCATCTATTCCATCCATTGTAAACAATCTTTTCCATTTTCAGGGTTGTTTATTCAACATCTTAGAAGGCAGTCCTTTTTTTCTAGGAACTACATTTTATTATCAGAAAGGATTTTCATGAATATTATAATGATTTAGTAGTTGACTTCATGTGTCAATTGAAGCTAGACCACCATAGAAAACCTGGAAACATTAGACGACCGTTTCGTCCTAGTATGAGATTCCTCAGTAGTGCACATCCACTACGTTTTAACATTTAATTCATTAGATAAGTTGTAAAATTAATGTTCTTTCTGAATGTTTATGATTAAATTATGAACCACTAGCATTACATAATTCGAGCTCTTTAAATTGTTGATGTTTACATCCAAATATCATATATTATTTCAACTGGATCTAATCTACTTCTTGAAGGCGTTAGATTCCCAGAACTCACTTGAAAAAGGTCCTAAATTTTTTATTTTATTCTGAAAATTTGAATTTTATTTTTTCGCGCCAAGAGACTCTTAATTGACCTACAGCTTATATTTCCCACTCGGAAATCCTTGAATGTCATTGGTTGACTGCTTATTTTAGTATGCTGTTTCGTGGCTCTCCCAAGGGCATTTTTAACATCGTATAAATTAGCTTGATTTGTGTGCTCAGTGACCTCGTATTTTCTGGGTGCTTGTAGGATAAATTCTCTACGCCAGATCAAGACTTCATGATCTAGTTATCAGGGCCGGTACAACGGATTAGAATAGCCTATCGTATCACTGTATCTTCGACCTTCGTTCCATTTACCGAGTAAGATGAATTCGTAATAGCATTCAAGCATATCACTATTACATTAGCCATCTTCGTATAACTAAGTCGTTAGGCCAAAATTTCTAAATGGGTGTTGTGTATACCGTTAGTCGCTAAGATTTTGGTTAAATCAAATAACAAATTGGTAGCAATGATGATTAAAAAACATGTTCGTTTCAGTTTGATAAAACGATTGAGAAAACTAGAACTTGTCATAGTTAACACTTGCAGGATGCATATCTTAATGAGGTTTAACAAAGATACAGACGTTTAAGTTAGCTGTATACTAGCTAATCCCGATTTCTAAGTTTCTCACTATATGTAGTGTTGAATACCCAGTTCTTTTCATTTTCAAACTGTATCTCTTGTGTTGAAAATGGGCATAATTCTTTTTACATTTAGGAAAAACAATAATAATGGGAACAATAACGAAACCTAGCACACAACATTTCGATCACGTACTGTCTCATCGCCCTTGGCAGATCAAACAACCCGAGAACACCATCAGGGCGTATGACAAGCTAGGTATCCCTTTACACTTTTGCCTTTGTTATATTCCAGAAACATTTAAAATGGAATTTGTATTTCATTATTTACCTTGAATTACATTATTTGTCACGTTCATTAGGTCCTATTATTATTTAAGGTCATAAAGTTTAGACACTTGGTTGGATACTATCAACAAAATGTGATATTCAGTGATCTGATTTGTTAACTAAAAATATTAAAGAATCATGGAAAATTCATCATACATCATTATAGATTTTCTAGAAGTTGACATGTAGTTTAAAGAAAAAGCTGAAGATTCTGTTACATGTTAATCCATAATATGCAAATCTTCTACATATGAACAAAATAGAATGGTTGAAGTTAGACATTAACACCAATGGATGCCGTCAAGTTCTCTGATTTAGAGATGAAGCGATCGCATGCAAGATTGATGGGTCCTAGGTTTGAATCTCGCGAGTCGGGATCGTGGATGCGCACTGCTAAGGAGGAGTCCCATACTACGACGCAACGGTCGTCCAGTGCTTGCATGTTTTCCATGGTGATCTAACTTCAACTAACTCATGAACTCCACTATTAAAATTACTAATATCCACAAACACCTCTTCTGATACTAATCATCGTATGCTCACTAATGACTGGCTTCAAGAGATATTTCCGGGAGTTCTAGTGAGAAGTAGTAACTAGTGGAGTTCAACCGGGTCTGTTGTGAGATAGTAACTCACTGAAGATTCATGAATTCAACTGTAAAATCACTAAAATCTCTACAAAACCCCCTTCTAATAAAGATCATATTATTAAATATTCCAAATGTTCGACACTTTCATTTTTCTTGAAATAGTCGATATCGTGTGTATGGAGGTGATCGAGGTTGAAGTGTTCAGTATTTTTGTTGTTGTTTGAAATTGTGTTTGTTCTATTATTATTGATTGTTTCAACTCGCTAGAATTGATCTAATTATTCTCTTTGCTATTCATTGAATCCATTCACAACAATCTGGTGTCAGGCAAGGCTGCTTACTCTCATCCATTCTCTTTCTCTTATTATGAAGACGTCAAAATCTGGGGGGAAACATGGGTTCAAGTGGGAAGCTAAGATGCAGATTCATTGTTTCAATTTGCTAGAAACTATCTCATTATTCTCTTTGTTATTCATTGCATCCATTCAAAACAATCTCCATAGTTAAAATAACTTATTGTATCATTGAATAAATGTAAAGTGAATCTAGCAAAGATAAATTGGATGCACATAGCGATCACTTTCTAAACGTATCTCAGAATACTGCCCAATCATGACTTTGAAAAGAAGAATGCAAAACAGTTACTAGTTCAATACAGGAGCACTTAATCAACTTTGGAACATATCACTCTGAAAGGAGTCTTTTGAAATATTCTACGCAGTCAAAGGAATTAGTTCGAAGGGAATTCGAATCAAAATCTTATGCATTGCTGAAACATCAACTCAAGCCCGAATTCTGCGTGTGAAAACGATAAGTCCAACCTCTCATCCATCTCTCCTTGGTCCTAATTCCCTTCTGAAGTATTTTTTGTTTTTGTTTTCTTCTTCTTGTAACTTTAAATCGTCATCAGTTATCACTATCTTTTAACAATTTTTCATCATTACTATTTATTTGTTACTATAACCTTAATATTTTTCGTTTTTATTTGCCTCATATCTGTCAAGTTGACAATTATCTTTCATAATTCTGACCCGTAAATTAGCTTCATCCATCTATTCTTCGCTAACCTCCTGACTATTGCGTAAACTCATTTGATAATAAGTCTCAATCCAACCCATAATTCAATCTACTTGTTCGAAGTAAAGACCGGTGTCAGGCAATGTTGTTTACTCTAACCCTTTCTCTTTCTCCTGGTAATCGACTAGATTATGAAGACGTTAAAATCTGGGGGAAGCACGGGGTACAGTGGACAGCTAGGATGGAGCTAGACGATCTAGACTTCGCAGATTATCTGGCTCTTCTATCGCACACGCAACAACAAATGCAGGAGAAGACGACCAGTGTAGTAGCAGCCTTAGCAGCAGTAGGTCTCAACACAAACAAAGGGAAAAACAAGATTAATCTTCTGCTATGGTGCAACATATTTATCTGAAGGAGTTTTGTGAGTATTATAGTAATTCTAATAGTTGAGGTCATGAGCTAATTGAAGTTAGAACACCATTGAAATCATGGGAGCACTGGACAACCGTTTCGTACTAGTGTGGGTCTCCTCATCAGTGAGCATTAGCAATCGCACCTCGCAAGATCCGAACCCAGGACCTATCAGTCTCGCGCGCGAACGGTTAACCTTTAAACCAGTGAACTTGACGGCATCCATTGGTGTTAATGTCTAACTTCAACTAATCCACTAAATTGAGCGACATACATTTATCTCGTTGATCATAATCTCAAAGTTATCTTTATTGTACACATGTCTTCCACATAATAACTCACAGATATCTAATTATGTACTTTTTGTCTGATTCCTTTTTACTTCTTGTTTCCTGCATTTTTAAAACGTCATTAGAAATTCATAAATGTCATCATACCGTGTTTATTTCATAGACATTGTCTATTATTCCAAACGTTCTTCTAGTAATATCCATTTGAGTGAGTATTTTTCAGAATACCTAAACATAAGACCTGACAAGGCTTCAATAAAATTGACGAGTACGGGGTTGAATGAAACTATACCTCAAATATCAATATTCAAATGATTACTGCATAGGTCCCTTGTTTCAAATATAAGTGATAAGCGTTTTCC